TTCAAAGTCTGAGCCAGCGTCTCTCCTGAACGCAGTGGTTCGGCGAAAAAATTTTGATACATTGCAACAAACGTAGAAAAGGATATAAAAAGATCAAAGCAGATTGGAAACAAACTCACTTCTGCAAACGTTGAAGCAGCGATGTGCAGAATAGGTAGGGCGAGGTAGGGAATAGAAGTGTAAAACAGCAACATGAGAAAAAAGCGGCCACATGCATGGACGGCCTCAATGAAACATCACATATCTGAAAAAAAGTAACACCGCATTAAATTTACAATGATTAAACGCGTAAAGCCGTTTTTACGACACATAAAAATTTAAATAAGTAACAGTAGTTTACAAAACATGATAAAGGGAAACAAAGAGCACGATTGATTTCGTTGCTTTTACTCGCTTCGCGGCGCTGCAGCTGATCAATACTAATCCTTAAGCGTCCGTGCAAATGACGAAAGCGCTTACATTTTCATGCTTTTCTCGTCCCACAACTTGGTTTTTCACTAGAAGGGCGGCGCTTGGGAGGCGGAGTCACTGGAAAAAAAAGGAGGAACCACTGGACCTATTTAGCCTTATAGCGCCCCTCCCCTTGACTTTTTTGCCGCAAAAACGGTACAGGGTTGTTCGTCTCGGACCGCACTACCCTCCCGACGCCATACGACGCCATATTTTCAACTTTTTTCGATACCCCTGATTCGCTGGACGGTTTCGGCTTTAAAATGCAAGTTTCATATTTAATTACGAATTTCCATGAAGAGAGAACCTCGATACCAATATTTCAATTTTAATATACCAGTTTGGCTGACGCACACTACTGCGCGTCCGGCCGGGGTGCTGATTGCTGATAGGATTTCTGTGCTGACCACTAACACTTGGCTTGATTCCATGTCTCGAAGTACGGCCTACTGCACCATATTTCACCTTTTTAATGAACATTTGCCAATGTCTGATGCTTATCACGTTTCTGAGAACACCCACCATTTGATGGAAATAGACAACTTACGCGGTTTGAAAAGAATTCGGTAGTAATATTTATCAAGTCTTGTGGAAGCTACTTATTTCCAAGCGTTTCCGTTGGGCAGCTTTCAGTCCGTCTGCTGGTGCCCCTTATCACTCCTCACTGACAAACATCTTTAAGCTTTTACTTTTGGAAGAATCTTTAGAGTTTAGCGGTTGAATCAATTTGGTCTATATAGCTCAAGGATAGAAAGTGCCTGGCTCACCAAGCCTTTGCTCATCGATTTCTGGACCACAGTGGTGAAGCTCAATCGCAAGCAGAGTAGGAAGGGGGACAGATACTAACTCTAAGCCCTTGTCAGGAGCAGTATCACAACATGTCTCTTGCCACCAAAGTCTCCCACCATGTTCGCTAAAAACGTCTGAATCACTTGCTGGAGGGTAGTTCCCAGTGGTTTGCTGGACAACTCGGTGTTAGTTGGGCTGTTGTGGTCACTATTCCAGCTGTTATACGTCCTGGCCACACTCGATAAGGTTCCATCGCTGCGCCCTATCTTAAAACTTTGGGAACGACACCTTACACGTCGTTGTGGCCGCAATTTATAAAGTTGATCGAGCTCACTATTGTTAAAGGCTTTACGTTGGTATCTTATCAGTCTGTTTATCAACCTGCCTGCCAGCCAACGCAACATGGCTCGCCATCCTGCCCCCTGTCTTACTACTTGGATCCAAGGTCCCGTCGTTGCTCTGGCCAGTGCTATGAATTTGGTGACCCTCCCCTTCTAGAACCCCTGTGCTATCTTATCAGCTCTTATCAGTTCCTGCCACCCACCGAAAATGTTCCCATCCTGCCCCTATCTCTCTACTTGGATCCAACGCCCGGCCGTTACTCTGGCCATTGTTATGAGTTTGGTAACCCACTCTTTTTAAGGCTCCTCATGGTATCTTATCAGCGGTTATCAACTATCCTGCCATCCCACTGCAATAGATGTTTACATCCTGCCCCCTAATGTTGCTACTTGATCCAAGTGCGTCCGTCGTTTATTCTGGCCCCCGGCCGCTATGATTTGGTGATGCTCCCGCTTCTAAGACGCCCCTGCGGTATCTCATCAGCTCTTATCAGTTCCTGCCACCTACCAATAGTGTTCCTGCCCGACCCCCTACATCACTTATCAGTTTGAGCGCTCTGCCGCTCCTTTGAAGGAAGTTATGAATTTCCGGTCAAACACACGACACAATACACAACACACAACACCAACACCATAGACCAAACTTAGGGGGAACGTTAAGTACTCACGAGAGGTCAGCCTGCCCGCCGCCGCGGAGGTGCTCTCCGCGATGCTTTCGCTATGTATTTTTGCATTTGCATAGTTCATGAGATTTCCAACCGTCTGCTTTATACTTGCAGGTGTGAAGGCTATGAAAGGAATGGGCCCGATATTCAACTACTAGTATAAAACAACGCCCATTAACATAGAAATAATATTTAGAGAATACATCAGCAATCTACGAAAATTCTTTTCAGGGTGAATCCTTCTTTTGGCCTCAATTGTAAGATATTGTAAGGTTTAAGATTCTCGGCCAGACGGTAAAAGTAGGTCCTATTGAAGAAATACAGCAGCCCGTCGAATAAGTACAGCTGCCATTCAAAAATACTGTCGTCCCATTGAATATTCTGGTTTGGAAAAATCCCAAGCAGATTCGCGTGATGCCAGAACTATGTGAAGGGACCGGGATCTTAATCGCACGACCATGTTGCTCTCGTAAAATCAGTTGCAATCGCCGCGCGCGGCGAGGCGAGACATGGCAGCCGTGACCTCTCGTGGAGTCCCTAAACCTACACCCGACAAACTAGCGATTATAAATATTAGGATTAATAATTACCAGTCTGGCTGACGCGCATTTCTGCGCGCATGGTTAAACCTTTGTTACTGATAACTGACAGGATTCCTGTGCTGAGCACTAACACTTAGCCTAATTCCTATGTTTCCAAAACGGCCCATTTCATCATGTTTCTCCCTTTTAATGAACACTTGCCAATGTTAGGTTCTTATCATATTTCTAAAAGCACCATTCGTTGGAAATAGGACAGCATAGCGGTTGGAAGGATTCCGATGGTAAAAATATTGAAACCATAGAGGCTCTTATCATTCCATTCATTACTGGCAAACAACTCCAAACATCCTATTTTCGGGAACTCGAGCGTTTAGCGGTGGAAGCAATTCCGAGCGCTAAACTGACGGGACTTTAACTAAAGAAACATCCTGACTTACTAAGCCTTCGCCCATTGATTCATTGGTTACGGTGATGTGAGCAGATACGGACTATCAATACGGACTCCTTGTAGGACACTGTCAGAATTTATCTTCCACCTTTAATGTTCCCTAAGCACCTCTGAATTACTTGCTCGAGCAGTTCCCAGTGTTGCTACAACGCTGCTGTGAATTTTCCTGGCTATCTCATCAGCTGTTATCAATTCCTGCCGCCCGCCAATAATTTTCCCTCCTGCCCCCTGTCTTACTTCTTAGAACCAATGTCTCGTTGTTGCTGTGGCCGGTGCTATGATTTGATTGACCCATCCGCTTTCTGAGAACCCTTATGGTATCTTAGCTCTTATCAATTCCTGCCACCGACACACTAATTATCCAACTCTCCTCCATCTTCTATTAGGTTGTCCGGAAAGTTCTCAGCGTTTTGGGTGTTTCACTTTAAACGATCGTAACTTTTTTAATACTCATCGGATTTAATCGAAATAGGCACCATTCGAATCAGCACACTTTTGCCAATGTGACAGCAGTCGAGAAATCCCATCAAAAAAACTGGGTGGTCGAAAATCCACGAAAATCACTTTATGGCTTTTTTGGCCTGTCCTCGTTTGTATAAAGTATTTCCAGCAAGGAAGCTCTGAAAGATGTTTAGAAAGGGATAGCCGGTTGGCGAAAGGTCTGAAGAATATGGCGGTTGAGGTAGAACTTCAACCCCCAATTCGTTCAATTTATGGATAGTGATTTGTGAAACGTGTGGGCGGGCGTTGTCATGCAAAGGAATCGGACCCTTTCTTTTGATAAGTGTTGGCTGCATCTGACAAAATTTTCGGTACATTTCGTCGATTCCTTCACAGTAGGGTTCTGCTGTGATGGTTTGGCCTGGTGATAAAAAGTTATAGTGGATCACACCAGCCGATGACCACCAAGCCGTGACCAGAATCTTTTTTTCGTGAGGGTTCGGCTTTGAAATTACCTCGTGGTTCGTCGAAATCCAACCACTGTCCGGAACGTCTCCTGTTATCATACATGACATTTTTCATCACAGGTGACAATTCGGCCCAAAAACAGGTCGTTTCTGCGCAAAAAGCAATGCAGAAGGAACCTCGAGACGTGCCGATTCCTGCCGGTCACTCCGATTGTGGGGCACCCAATTGTCGAGTTTTTTCACCTTCCCAATGCGGTTCCAGACCATCTGCAACAGTGGATTTGCCAA